TTTTTTTTTTTTTTTTTAGTAAGCCCAAGCTGTTGGCAGTAACTAGCTGGAAGTAAAGCTGGTTGCCTCATGTGACTACAGCACCCTGCACCCAAGTGTTCTTCTCGGAATGCGTTGCTCTTTTAGAAAGCGGCGCCTTAGTGGCGTTTACCCCCATGTAAATAAGATACTGGCACCACCACTGGAGCCGTAAGCTTTTGTTTCAGCAGGAGCAGAATGAATCATCACTGAATATATCTGATTACAAAGAGTAATAGCAGAATTTGTTCCATCAGCAACCTTAGGTATGCAGGAGTGATTATCTAAATGTCCCAAAATGCCTTACATGAACATGACATTTATTCAGTCTTTTTTTTAACTTGTACTACCTCAGACTTGCAATAAGTGGCTCTTTGGTCAAGATAAGGATATACAGTTTCAAAGGGTACGTCTCAACCTTTGCTTAGAAATGTGTTCATTTATTCCCCTAATATTTAGAGTCACTTTCTTAATGAAAATACTTCCAAGTCTCAAAAAGTATACGAAAAGCAAGATTTTTTTTTTACACTGACTAGAAAAAGAATTTGACAGACTTCAGTGATGAGACTAGCCTAATTAAGTTTATTTAATACAGAACAAAAAAGTCCTGAATAGCACATGTAATTTGGGACATGGTGAATGTCTCTTATTACCATTTTTTACTTACTGACTTTGCTGATTTATAGTGACTTAATTTGCAACAAAAGCTTCCTCAGTGTTCCCTGCACTCAAGCTAATTCCTAGTCTTTGATATGCCAAATCATTAATTTTGATAAATTTAAAGATATGAGTAGTTTTCTATGTTAAAAATTCTCAATAACCTAGTTGAGCATCTTAACCAAAGAAGCTTGTAACAGCAGGAGGGTTGCTGTTCTAAATGTCAGGTTCTCTGGTGTTGTCCCCTTTAGAGGCTTGACAGCATCCAAAATTGTCCATTTAAAGACAATTCTGAGAACTGTATTAAACACAGGGCTTGGGTTCCCTTGCAACTCTAGCCTTCTATCCATAACACCTTCTGGTCTGTCTGACAAATAGGCTCAAGGAATTCCATATTCTACTGCTTAAGCAAGTAAGCTCTGTAGCCCAAGTTTGGCACGGCTGATGTTTGTAGACATGAGGGGACAGACTCCTTTTGGCTCTGAATTCTGGCACACACAGGTATCCAGTTCTGTCCCTAACCGCAGGCAAAGAGAAATGCCTTCTATTAATGAGCATCTGTAATTGTGTGCAATACATGTGAATGGGGAGGACCTTACACTGGCTGGGAGATTAGTCAAGTAAGCCTTTTAGTAAGAACTTCCATCTAATGTATTTAGATCCCTGGGATGAGGAGACCCTGAGCTCCGGCCTTATAGTCTATGTAGATAGAAGTCTCAGGAAATGAAGGCACAGTAGTAGTTGTAAGTTTGTTTGAACTCTGACCTTTGTCCTTAAGCAAGCAATTCAGGAGGTCTTTTTCTAAAGAACTGCACAGAAGCAAGATATTATTCTTGCTCTCTTCTGCTAAGGACTTACTCATCATCTATTGCTGACAGCTGCTGAAACCAGACTTCACAGTTGGAAGCGGCTTTCCTTTGGTTGTGTGAAAATATGACACAGCTACTAGTTTATGAATGAGGTGAGCAGTGTTTGTTAAGCACTTGACAGATTTTCATGTTCAAATGCTGCTTCTGTCAGTATGAGCATAAACTCCATAGCTTAAAAAGGCAACAATGCATGGAAGGATCACTAACTCTGTGTTTATTATTAACCCTAGCAGCTCTCTGATAGCTATGCCTGAGGATTTCACCCAAAAAGGCAAGCAATCAGCATTCAGCAGCTTTCCCAGGTATTTTCTGAAATCTGAGGTCAACCTTCAAGACAAAGAGTGTGTCTAGAACTTCTAAATACACTCAAGTTAATCCCGCATCTGTTCTCTACAGAAGCAGTAGTGATACTAGAAGCTACAAGGCTTCATGGAGAAAAAAAACATTAATCTCATGAGTATTTTAAAGGGGTAACAATATTGGTCAGTATTTAGCAGAATTGGAAGTATTTTAGCATCTCCAGAAATGTTCTTCTTTGTCTCTATTTGCAGGATGATTTTCAGGGGAGTATTTAAAAATTAAATAACTGTTCAGTTGAAGATTTTAGAATATTCTTTCTTTAACAGCAACAGGTTGACTTGCTTTTGTTTACTTCTTTTCCACTCTGAGTCACTGTGCTGTGGAAGGATCTATCCTAGCTAAGAAGAAATAAATATGATCCAGCTCCCAAAGGCTAAAAGAGACGTTGGTTAAGGTATTCCTAAGGCTGTACTGGAGACAGTTTTTCTCTTTTTTCCTTTAAACATCTCTGTTTTGTAATAGAATATAAGCAATGCTAATTGTCAGTATGGTGACATGCTGGTTTGGTAGACAACACTACTTGAACAAAACAGGTTCTAAGATTATGATAATTTCACTACAGTTATCACAAGAATTTCAGTTTTTGGTATGCATCTGAGGAGTCTTCTACAAAAAAATTGAGGAGCTTTGCTTGACTATTTTGAGGCTGAAGTGTCTTCTAAACTTTCTTTTAACTAGTTAAACCAAATAGCTTTTGGAAATATTTATTGTCTTTCACATGTTTCCTTGTATGTATTTGCAGGGTCCCACCCTACGTAAAAGGGCGTTGCTGAATAGGACAGAACATAGGAAAAGCCAGATCTAGACTTGAAGTAACTGGAGTTTTGTTCTGGGGAGAATGGGGCTTTGTTGAATGGGAAGGTCCTGTACGTACAATGCGTTGGGAGCCTTCTGGGTGGCAGAGTATCCTTGTAGATAAAAGTTGCACGTGCTTTGAGTGAACCAACTGCTATAAAATCATACATCTGCTAACAGATGCGTAGTAACAAGTAAAGTTGATCACAGATGACAACCAGAAAATATTTATAGATGTGAGCTGGCCAAACAAATTCAGCTAGGTTTAAGGGAGTTATCCCAGAAAGCCCAGCTATATTATAACAGGGATTTTACGAATTTATTCTTTTTTGAGCAAAAAAAAGTTGAGCTGGTTTTGGGGGGTTTTTTTTGAGGAATATATGTGTTGAGATTTTTAAATCTGGACTTCCATTATGTGAAATATAACATATAGATCAGAAGTTGTCTTCCTTATAGTCCATCTGAAATGTTTGGACATGCTTTTTTCTTTTGTCTTCAAACATCCTTTACCAGAAAACCGTAATCAGGATTTTTAATTGGGAGTATGCTGTTGGATGTCTGTGTAGATTATATAAAGCAAAGTAAACAGCCATTGTATATGGGAACCAACATAAGTCAGCAGGGTCTGCTTTTAGTTCTTGAAAAATCTGAAAAAACATAGTTATAAAAGCTAGAAAAGCTTTAGAATTAGCAATAATACTAGGAAATGAGGCTTCTGAAATGCAGTTTATGGGATGAGCTGTCAGAAGAAGTTTCCTTTTTGGACATAGCTCACAGAGTGAGTACCATGTCTTTGTAAATGCCTCTAGAACTGAATCTGGAGCTACAGACTCTTCGTTTCCAAAAAAGTGAGGGAGGGGGGAGCAGAGATCAACCAAGCTGAGGGTTAGTTGTGTTTACATATTGCTGTTGTTAAGTGAAAACCAGTGTGCTTTGCAACATAGGGATTCCTCTTTCCATGTTTATACCATCCCATAGTAAAGACTTCTGTCCTACTCCTAATGTCTTCAGTAATTAAGAAACAGGTATTCATGACTAGATTTATATGGCCTGCTTTAAGTCCATCATTAGGCAGATCAGCAAAGCTTAACAAAGGGGAAGGCTCTTAAAGGAACAGAATTCAGACTATTAAAAAAATGAAGTAATTGCAGCTCAAACCCCAGTTCCCAGTGGCTGTGTGGTAGAAGGATTAAGTGTTACATTCATAAAATATGAAAAATAGTTGTTCCCAGTGGAAAAATGATTGTGCGGTGTAATGTAACACTGAAACAGAAATGTTGCATTGAGTATTGGGGGAGAATCAAACTATATTTTTGTTAGTGTTTGAAAGAAGAAATCATAATTTTAAAAGCCACCTTTGGATTAGAATTTTGATAAGATATATCACGAAGTATCCTGTAGAGATAACTTGAAATGAATTACCAATACTCAGTAATAAAACATAATGAACATAAATTGAATCATAATCTCATAACTTTGATTTTTCCACCCTTAATTTCTGCTGCCGTTTGCAAGCAGTTTTATGATTTAACGGGAGAGAGAGGAAGCATGTTCTAAAAATAAGTATTAAGAAGTGCAGTAAAAGTGACAGTAATGCCTTCTGCTTTTGTAAGCAGATCAAGATAATACTTTTCCTCTTGTACCTTTGATGTTTTCTGTCCACAGAACAATCTAGAGGAAAATGGCTGCCTTTTTGCTTTACTAATCCAGCACATAAACTACTGTATATTTAACAGAATTTGATAAGACATTCACTGTACATACAATATCACACTGTGGTTCCTATTGGCTGGAGTGCTCAGGTATCTGATGGTACAGTCTGTTTAACTTGTACTCTGAGTCATCTCTTGCGTGACCACTTCAAATATGTACCTCTTTAATCTTACAATACTGGTAATCAGGACGATATCTTCAATCTTGTATCAAATGTGATTTGAAGTTAGACCAATTAGGATGTCATGAAGATTCTGAATTACTTCAGATCTTTTCTATATGGATTCCTGATGCTTTGGGCTATAAATGCACCATACGATGTTCTCTGGGGAATTTCCATACTTGTTTGCAGAGAAGAGTTCTGAGAATTCTCTGAAGCAATCTTGCTGTGCGTGTTCCCTCTTAGCGGTAGATTGGAGACCTTCCTCCATTTTTAGTCTAAGGGAACATAACAAGTAGTGACAGGTTGTCACAGAAGTTTAAGGGAAGGAAGGAATTTGGAAGAAAATTTTAGAAGGCTTATTTTTATATGTGAAAGGATCAGTGCGACATACCTACAGATTAATTAGCGTTAAGTGTTAGCTTCCTGCATTACTTAAAAATTCCTATTTTAAAATTTAAAGAAAAAAATAGTAAGGTAGTATATACTGAGTAGGTTTTTTATAGATTAGCAAATAACTTTTTTGACTTGATCTCTAAAAGTAGCAACCAATTATAAATTGCCCAAGAGATGATACCAGTAAGGTAAGATATGGGCATTTTTATTTGGGTTTGAGGTTTCTTTGTGCTCTAATTCTGTGAGGACATAGAGGAAACTACAAACTCCTTGTGGAACAAATCCTTCAAAGACCTAACAGTGATAAAACCAGGGATCCCTCTTTTTTTTTTTTTTTTTAATTATGTCCTTGCTCAATGAAAATTCAGTAGAAACTCTAGTGTCTTTCAATTTTAAAATTTTTGTCAATAGCAAGAGGAATTAAATGTAATATGTGATTATTTTCCAAGCTATATTTATGTAAAAGAAGCTTTAAAAGTCTTTGGAAAAAATTACAGATTTCCATGGTAGTGCACTTTAAAAGTTTTGGAACAGAAGATGTACAAACAGCATGTTATTTTAGATAGCTTAATGAAGGAAGCTAATGACAATTCCATGAAGGAAATAAAATGTCATATTGCAGTTGAGGTTTATCTGCCTGCATTTTGGATGCTGGTGGGTAACTGAATTTACAGGTGGGACTCATGTATTTAACTTGCAACCTGTTGTGCGTTTCCGATAGGAATATTTTCTCCCTTCTTTTAAATTCTGCGTTCTTATCAATCTAAAATACGTGTTGGTATTCTGATGAGAGTGTGCTCTTTCCCCTAGTTCAGCATCTTTGTGAAGCCTGCTTGGTGTGAATGCAGTACTTAAAGAAGTGGGTGGAATCTCCTTGAATAAAAGAAGAGATGGAGGTGCCAACAGTCTGCAGCCAAGATAATGGTACTCATTACTTTTACATCTCTTTTTTTAAAGAGAAATAAAACTGACAAAAAGATTTATTCCCTGGTCCCTGTAATTCTTCTTCAATTGACTCACAAGAGAGATGAACATGTCTAGAAGTATTACTACTTAATAACTGGAATGATTCTTGATGTTTAATGGTGGTATGCAGTTAATTTAGAAAGCATCAGGAGAGACTACCTGCTGTTTGTTTCTGGCTTATAAAGTCCAGTGTCTCTGCAGCTGTATCAAGATTTACTAGTAACTGCAAGAAGGGGGTTTTTTTGCTTAAGGAAATGACTCACTATTGTTTGAAGGTTTGTGCTTCTGCATGGAACATTTTGGTCTATTTGAGCCCAGTTTAATATAGGGAATAGCATTCCAGGAGACAGACAGTACAAATAATCTCAAAGAGGCAACTAGTAACAAGGAAATTATTTTAAAAATTGTCTCTACCAAAGGTAAGGTTCTATTAGGCACTAGGAAGTTCCTGTAGAAGAAAATCCCTTTAACTTGTGTTTTTCCCTATGGGCCTCACAGTCAGGGTTCACTGAGTTTATAATTTTTGTAAGTGCTTAGCTTTCTGCTTTCCAGAAGGAAATGGTGCTTTTGATAATGAGGTACGTTTCCAGGTTTTCCCAGTTTGGATACTCAATAATTCTGTCTGATGATTGAGGCAAAAGTCCCATCTGCAGAAACCTAGCAGGCAAGTACCTGCATAAATTCATGCATAAAGAAAATACTTCAGTGAAACTAAAGTTGAAGATAGATCTCATGTAAGTGTTAGTAACATCGAGGTCTAGAGCTGATACAAGAAACAATTAACTGCCAGTGGCTACAAACATGGTTCTCAGGAGATAAATCAGTAAAGAAGGGCTTCCAGGTTTAGGTTAATTGTGGTGACTGGATGATAGCAGCTGATGATATTGCCTGCAGTGGAGTATACTCAGCTATTCTGGGTTTGCTTTAGTTTTAAGAAATTATTGTTTTGACTTTGGCTGCTGTAACTTTAGAAGCTCTTAGTGTCTTGGTTTTATTTCAACATTTTTCTTGTATTACAATACTACTCAATGAAACATGCCAAGTTTAATGTCACAAGCAAATAAATATAAAGGAAAGTCTCCAGTTAAAATCCTAGTGTGTGATTGTGTTGGCACTAAAAAGCAAAGAGACAGCTTGTGCTTACCAAAATACACGAGAGTTGAGAACAAAATTTCCTTTGACATTCAGTGGGAGGCAGGCACCCAACTCTTAAGGGCCTTTTAAGAACCCGTGTAGCTTAATGAATCCAACTCCTAGCATTTGACATGGTATTGTATTAGTGCTGTTATAAACCTTGTATTTCTTGGGAAGAGTGCTACATACCAGAAATGTCATTTCTGGTATGTTGTCATTTCTGAGGTAAAATTAAATTCCATGCACTCACAAAATTCCAGTTTGTATCTAGGCCTGGCTTTGTGAAACATCTTATCTATTTGTTACCTCTTAGTTTCTGCCTCCTTGAGATTTTAGAAAGACGTTGGATTTTTCAGTTTTCCACTGTATTAGAATGCTATTCCTGTAGTAGGAATGGTTCTTCCCCTTTCCTGGGACATGTTGTGGGTGTCTGTGGCAATGGTATGCATTTGGCAGGATTTTGCATTTTCATTAGTGATATTCTGCAAAATGTTTGCACTTGTCAAGAGTGGAGAAAAACAGACGCTTTCTGGCCCAAACAGTGGGTTATCCAAAAGAAAATCCTATAGAATGAACTAGACAACTTCTTATGTTTACCTCTTCTCAGTGAGAGGTACAAGCTTGAACCCAGACTGATATGTGTGAGGTTCCCTGTGTGTTTTTCTCACAGGTCAGTTGAAAATTGCTAGTATTGACCTAACCCTGTTGGTTAATAACACAATAAAATAAAACTCTTCTGCAACAGAGTTGATTGCAGGAAACAAGCAGAGCAGACAGGAAATGGGTACATTTCTTGGAAGTGTAAACTGAGGAAAGGTGCTTTGCAAAGGCCTGGGTCACCGTTTGGCTTTGGCTGGTCTTCTATTTGTACTGAAATGTCTTGCGCTTTTCTGTTTCTTGGGCTCAGGTGTGTCTCATGTTCTGACTCTAGTGCTACAAGAACTGAGTTTGCTCTGTAAAAGAGATGTCAATGGTGTTGGCATGTTATATGACCTGCTCAGATCTCGCTGGCTGCAAGCACTTTTAAAGGTAAAGTAATATTCACCTATGAAGGCAAAAGTTTCCTAGAGGGCAACCTGTAGGGGGACAGCTACTTTATTTTTGCCGTATCAGGACAATAAATGCTTATTTATGCTAAGTACCAATAGTCCTAATGTCACTCCTAATATCAGCAATGAAGATGAACAAAACCACTTTTGCTTTAAAGAAAAAAAAAAAAGGTATTCTCTTTCGTAATGTCCTACTTTACACGTGCGTATTAAGGCCAGGCAGATGGAGAAAGGCTGAACCAGCGCTGCTGAACCGTCTTGTCTTTTCTATTCTTAAATCTCTGTATGGCTATGCATCCCACCGTTTGGCATGAATGCTTGTGAAATTATATTTTTTGGTTTTGCCTACACTGATCTAATGTGTAGTTGATGACTTCATGTTGTTATGGAACAGATGGTGTTACTGTCTTGAGCAGAACTGTATCTGAGACAAATTCTGTACAAATTCTGCTTTTCCTCTAACAAGAAGAAAAACTTGCAGTGGATAAGAATGTCCATAAGGCCATTTTGTGATTTATTTTATTTTAAGTTAAATTTACTTTAAGTTACTTTGTTAATTTGATTAACAAAGGGCAACTTTGCAACTAGGGGAAGGAATCAAGTCAGAGAACTGATGCTATCAAGCTATTGTCCTGTATAATCAGCTTTTCTTATTGGAAAATTTAGAACTAGAGCATAACTGCCTAGCTGGATGATAACATGAAAGACAATGAATTACAGACTTGATTCCAGATGCATATAGACATTAAAGATTGAGATTGCAAGTTCTTTGGCTCTATTTGGACTGACAATTTCTTAGAAATACCATATTGTCCATTGTGTGTTGTGTACGTATCTATATAATGATGTGAACAGATCATATCATCATTCACTGTCTTGTCTGTCGTGGCATGCCATAGATTTATGAATGCCTCCAACAGTACCTCGGAAAAAGACCAGCTCCTGTCACGCTGCAGGCACGTGCATTGGCTCGTGAGGTAAGGCTGTGTATTGCGTTATTTACTCGTACCAAATTGGCCAGCCTCGCTGCAGATACGAGTCTTCTGGTATTTGTTTTGTGACTCAGGTCTGAGTACACGGTATAAACTTGAAATATTCCCTCATCACGCATTTGGCAAACTACTTGATAACTCTTATGTATGGAGTTGGGGGAGGTGAGAAATGCATACAGCTGTGATCACTAGACTGCACGAGCCCTGGCCAGTGGGATGAATACAAAAATTATTTATTTTAACCACTGGCCATATATTTTTTCTTCCCATGTAACTGTGTGGTTCAGTGTTACGGCTACAATCAAGCAGTCTGACATGAGGATTCTGAAAAGCTTTTTGTTTTTTTTCTAATCATAATAGCTTATAAATTCTTAATTTTCTGAATTAGTGGGATAGTTGATGACTAAGTGGAGAAACTGACACTAGTGATGAAACTGATTGAGGCGTAGGAGAAAAAACAAATTTAAAGCACATGGTTCTGTGTCTGAATAAATTAAGCCTGGCTGAGTGTTGCACAGCTGTGGTCATGTCGTCCAGTTCTAGAGCAAACCCTATGGATATTCTCCAAGTCATATAACTTGGGGGGCTGAACGCTTTTACCATACCATATCCTCTAAATTCAATTTAGAGCTTTTTAAATTAACTGTCCTCCAGAACCAGTCTGTGCTTTCTCTTACATTTATCAGGTGGTGGAGTTACTGCGTGAAGCTCCTCAGTCTGGAGAGATCAAAGAGCTAAGACGACTACTGCGAGCTCCACACTTCAAGGCAAGTCCTGCCTACGGAAAGAGAAAGTTTGCCCATAGAGCTGTCTGCAGTGGGAATGGAAACAGCTGGCCAGCTGTTCACAAGAACTGGCAAAAGAGCCAGAAGAAACATAGTTTCCTAGTCATTAACTAACCTAGTTGTGAAATCAGATGTGGATTGTGTACCTGAAGTACCTGCAGTGGGCTGCATTTTATTTAAGGGCTATGTTTGAGAGAGATGTTTCTTACAAAGTTACATTCTGAGTGGTTGATGCAGACATATAAAACTAATTTTTCCTTCTAATTGCAAAGCCTGCATTTTTTACCCTACAGCTGCAAATAGAAATGTTTCTTTTTTTGTAAGTTTTCCAGAAGCAGAGAGGAACTGTTCTGAAAATTTTATTTCACAGATTGAGTTTCCACGTGGAAAGAAGAAAAATGTCAGTGTGTGAAAGGGATCTATGTTTACATAGGAACTTATTTGCTGATTTTTGTTTTCTGACCAGTCAGTGTTTAAAGCTGTTCTATAGTGTGATCTTTGCTTATGGGTTGGTTAGTTTCCTTGTTTTTGTTTGTAACAGGCCTTGCTCTCTGCTCATGATACTGTGGCCCAGAAAGATTTTGAACCAACCCTTCCACCACTGCCAGACAACATCCCTGAAAATGAGGAAGCTATGAGGATTGTCTGCTTAGTGAAAAACAACCAGCCTCTGGTGAGGGAACTTTTGATGTCTGTTGAATTATTTTAACTTACACAAGCATTGATAATGCATTGTATGCATACTTGTTTCTTTCCAGAAATGTCACAGAGATTGTGTGCATTCTTGTCTAATTTTTATAGAATCAACAAGACTTGCTGAGGCCCTTAGGAGACCGTGTAGCCCTGCTCAGTGCGGGTGCAACTACAGCAGGTTGCTGAGTGCCTTTTCTGCTCAGGGTTTGAACATTTGGCAGATGTTTCTATCTCATATAATGAAAATGTAAATTGGATTGAGAGTTATTCACTTGGCCAAAATACTAAGAAAGGGAGGACAGACTCTGAAAGGTTCTTTAGAAATCATTTGTGCTTGTAAGCGGAAAGCATCATATAGCTCAGCTAATTTGTTGTAGGAAAAGATAGCTGTAATATTTGAGATAACCTCTTTGACTGACTGTAGGAAATCTTTGCTATTTCAGTATGATGGACATTGAAGATATTGAAGGACTTATAGCAATAATGTATCGTTATTAGTACTATCTGTGTGTGTTAAAAAGGCTGTGTCTTCCAGTGCCTTTTTGTCATTGCGAAGATCCAACTTGTGATGTGAGAGGAAACTTACTGGGGCAGAGGGGGACATTCTTCAGTGATCATGTGTTTTTTCTTTATTTTTATTTGCCAGGGTGCCACCATTAAACGCCACGAGATAACAGGTGACATAACGGTTGCCCGTGTGATCCATGGTGGGCTAGCAGACAGAAGTGGTATGTATAATTTGAAACAAAATAATACAAAAAATGGAACTTAAAGTAAGATATCTTAAGATAATAGCTTCACTTCTACAATTAGTCTTCCATTATAGAGCAACAAGATGTGTACATTGGACAGCACTGTAAATAGTGATACGTTGCAGTGACTTTGATTCTGGTTTCATTAATTTTCATATGAATGTGCTATGTTTGAGACTGAGCTGAGGTACAAATCCAGTTTTCATTATGTATTCTTGGCACCAACACCTGGATAAATTTACCATGAGATTGATCAAGAATATCCCAAACTGCAGTGTGGTATGAATACCAGCAGCTGATTCCTTAATGGAGAAATGGAAAACATCAGTAGTCTCTGCTTCTATAAGATAAAGGAGTATGTAGTAATACTTCTTGGCACTACTAAACACTTTAGTCTAATAAAACTAATGCTTAGCATTAGTTGCTAAGCAATCTTCCAGTGAGTTTCCTTGGGAATGCTACTGCTTTGTCATTCTAGAATGAATGTGTTTCATGTTGCTTGGGAAATGTAACATAACTAAAATGCAATGCATCAGAAGTAAAATTGAACTGTAATCATTATAAAACACCTCCTTCTAAGTATTTTCTGGCCTTTGTATAGAGAAGAAAACTCAAGCTGTAGACAAAACCTGATGAAGTTCCTAGAGCAATGAATGTTTTAATGGAGCTGAAGGAAAACATAAAAGTAAACAATACTGTAAAGACTTTGTAAAGGACAGAGAGGAGTTCCAAGGCCTCCCACTGCACCTGGAATTTTTAAGGGTCTGATTCCAAGTCTAATGGTCTGTTAATACAGGTTTAGCTAGAATAGGTTCAGAAATTACTTTGGGAAATTGAGCTATATTTAAATGTTTCTGCTGCTTTTAAGGCAAATAATCAATAGACTGTAAACACGTTGTATGTGAGAGGTGGGAGGAAATAAGAAAACTGCAGCATGCAAGCTTCTTGTGAACCACAGAAGTCTGCAGTCCTATCCAGGGGCAATATAGCCTAAATCCAAAATGTCTTCCTGCATACCTGGTGTATGGGAACTTTTAATGCTGACTTCCAAACCTGTGGTACATCTGTGTGTTCCTGCCTTGCCTACCCAAGATAATCCATGCTGTCACAAGACTTCTGCTGCTGCTTTCACCTTTGTTTTCACTGTAGGGTTGCTGTACGCTGGAGACAAACTGGTGGAAGTAAATGGAGTTCCTGTTGAGGGACTTGAGCCTGAGCAAGTTATTAATATTCTGGTATTGAATCTTTTTTCTACTTTGTACCTTAAGAGTAACTGTATGTTGTCTCTTTTATACTCACACTCTTAGAGGAGAAAGTCTGAAACTTTTAACAGAAAATTCAGATTTGTTTCCTTACTGTGGATGCAGTTCACAACTGCTCATGAAATCGGAATGTATGCAACCAGAATTAAATCTAACCCCTATTCTGGACAAAAACTAACTTAATTGTGGCAATTGCACCTGCAGCTTCTAGGAAGAATATTAATTTATTCATACTTTACTGATTCATAATTTTTGTGGAAGTTTCACTCAGTTAATATTCCACAAGTTGTGGAAAGGTGCTGTTCTAATACGAGTCCATGTTACAAAATGCACTAAAGCAGAGTGAATGAGCTTGAAAACTATGTACCTCGCCTTGCAAAAAAGGGCAGTGGCAATTACTGTTGTGAAAATTCTCATAAAGAAATCTGTCGACCTGTCCCTGTTACTTACTTATCATTTTGCCCACAATCTTTCAGGGTTCTTCCCTGCAAAATGTTAGTGCCAGTCAGTAACGTACTGCTATATGTAATCAGTATCAGGTCTTTCTATGTGTTATTTCCTTGGGTGTACTATTTCTAGGTATAAGAAATACAAACTCTATTGGAAAGCTTAATTCTTAAATATTTTTTTCTCTCCTCTTTTACATCACTTGTCTAATCAGACCCTGCTGCTAGTTTAAATTAGATTTCAGTAGAAAAGTTTGGTATCAATTAATCTTGACATTGTATATATTAATAAAGAAACATAGATTTTATTGTATTAGAAATATTTAGCAAGAATTTGAAGTTTAATTCTTGAGTTTCCTTTTGAAAAAAAATACAGTATTGTTGTATTAATTCTGTCTGCCTAAATCCTATTTGTAATATAGACATTATAGTAACCTCAAAGTCATGTTGTGTTAAGTTTGTGCTGCCAATGTTTGGTTATTTGTGCTGAATACCAGTCATATTTTAATCCTTTTTTAATCATTTAGGCCCTGTCTCAGGGGACAATTATGTTCAAATTAATTCCAGTTTCTGATCGACCTGTCAGCAACCAAACAACAGTAAGAGACATTCTTTTTTTTGATTTGTTACTGCAAACAACTACCCCAATAATGTCTAGTGGCGTGATACAAAGAAATGGTATTGTTTAGAAGTTTATTGCAATCCCTAAAGTGTTAGTTGCCTTTATGGCTACCTCTCAGCTGACATCAGTATGCTGTTGCTGAAGCAGTAAAGATAGTAAGCTGAAATATAGTTGTGTTAAAGGTAATGAAGACATTTGCAGAGTGATCTACTGGTTGAAGGTCTTTTTTTTTTTTTCAAAACGGGTAAGACAATTTTCTTTTCTCCTTTAATGAACAGAGAGGGTTTGGGGCCTGACTGTGTTTTTAAAACTTTACTTCTTCATGAATTGACTTAAGTAGCAGCAATATCCAGCCCTCTGATTATAAAGCTCATGTTGTATCTGTTCTAAACATGGCTTCCACTTACTCATGTGTATTTTCTCTACCAGGTCTATGTGCGAGCAATGGCAGATTACTGGCCCTTGCAAGATCCTGCCATACCATGTGCTGACGCAGGTTTGCCTTTTAAGAAGGGTGAAATACTCCAGATTGTGGACCAGAATGATGCTTTCTGGTGGCAGGCCAGGAAAGTTTCAGATCTCAGTGCCTGTGCTGGACTTATACCCTCAAATCATCTTCTTAAACGGTAAAGAAGTCTTAATTTTTCTGATTTCCAATTAAAAAATTAGCCAGTTATTCAGACTTCACTTTTTAAAATATGGCAGTGTATATATAGCAGTATGATTCAGAGTGACATCTGACAAACATCTTTCTTCTTTCTGTTCTCCAGCTTCTTGTTTTCCTTCCCCTAAGAGAGCCTATGTGAGAATAAGCTTTTGAAAGCACCTATGTAATCTTACATTGATGTGTAAGACATTTGCCAGAGTTGCCTAGTCTCTATGTTAGTTGCTAAGACATTTAGTGGAGTTGTACCAGCTGAAAGATGGGTGGAAATTAAGGGCCCTGACTGTTCAGGACCATCATCTAGGAATTAAAAAAAAAAAAAAGGGTGGAGAAGAGTGGGATACTAAACATATAGTATAAGGGCATAGCTGTATCAAGAAACACTGTTTTTTTTAAAGATGTCCTGTGAGGCAAGAGCAACCTCTTCAACTTTAGTCAAAACTGAGTAGATCAGATTAAAAGAAAAGAGAGAAACAAAAACACATGCTCAAGGAAGAACAAGGATCCCTTGTCTATTTTCTGGATAAATAGCCCATTATTTTTACACTACATGCTTTCAGAACTGGAATAGTTAAACTGCTGTAGCACACTTTTCAGTTTGATCCTTTAACCACATGTGCCATCTGTGTTATCCTCAGGAAAACATAAGGCCATGCAATTGTAGATGATAAACTTTGATTTGTACTATATCTAAACCTGGCTGTGGTTTGTGTAATGGAAGTGGAAATCAGACTAGGTTGCGATTGAGGCTGCAAGCAAGAAGCTCTGTGTGGTAACAGAGGCAGCAGTACTACTACCCGTAGGAGTAGTGCGCACTTCTACTTCCAAGAGTCTGTACCACAGTATGATTTATCTTCCTGTCCTTATATATAAATGGAAAATTTTTGGCAGCTGGAAATGGAAATGGAAAATTTGGGCAGCTGATTTAGAAATTGCCTTTAAATATTTCTGATAGCATGTCAGCTTTCTTCCAGGACTTTACAATGGGTTAAAACATAGATAATGTTTCCATTCTCAGTGTCTTTGTCAGCTCAGTACTGATTGATCTTACCTGTAAGCAGTCAACCTGACTGGAGCATTATGTGCTTGTAAACTGGTTTGTTTCTGTAACTGTGATACATTTATTTCTCTGTAGGAAGCAGCGAGAATTCTGGTGGTCACAGCCTTTCCAGCCCCATCTCTGTCTCAAGTCATCACTGCGTGAGTGAAAAGTTATTTGAATGGTAGAGTAAGAAAGAAAGATCTTGTCTCTATTTCTAGGGATACTGAAATAGAAGCTCATACAATTCAATTTAATTCAAAGACATTGTTTCTGGAGCCACATTGTAACCTCGGAAGTGTGTTAACTATCCCCAGGAAAATACATACTTAGTGGTAGTTGTACCTGGAGTACTGATGGTGGTAGTTGCCAGTGTACTTGGGATCTAACTGTGAGAGAAGCTGTGAACTCAGCTCCTTCTGAAGTCTGTAAAATCTAGGAGAACCAATTCTCTCTAGGAGAATTCGGTGTGAATAAGTCTGAGGTGACAATTGTACTAGCCTGGCTTTCCAGGAACACAGATAACAGTTCTGCACTGGAAGATGCCATGTGGTATGTTTAGAATGTTCCTTTGTCATCAAAATTATCAAGAGAAAGATAGAACTTTTTTCCTTAAGGTGTCAGACAAGCCACACTGCCCATGAGTTTATTCGTGGTGACAATCCAGAAACATCCTCTGCCAACTGTAACTTCCTGTAAACATGCAATTATTCCCAAAGAACATTCTTCCTGTTTTCTCTCTCCCCATTTTCTTCTATGGTTCTTTATACTAGTATAAAATATTTCTTTTAATAACTCTCAGATTGAGTGTGTTTCATCGCCTAGGATTCTTCTTGCACTTATTGCTTTGTCTGTTAGAGCTGGAGCTCTCTTTCACAATCATTTTATTGCATTTTAACTGCTTCAATGGATATGCTGTGGGCAGTAAGCACTGTGGAAGAAGGTAGGAGATTGTATCTTTACATTCCTGTACCTGGAATCAATATAGCACATTGTTTTATCAGCTTTTTAAAAAATTGTCAGAAATGAGGCAGTTCAGTAAATATGTGCAAAAGAAAGCCAAGTTCTTGGCATTTTGTGTGCTTAGCATAGTTGAAATCAAGTCTTTTTTCATTTGAAATAGTAGAAGCTTACATTGTCTTAAAGTAAAAAGTTATGAATTGCCTGGGAGGGAACTGAGAGTTTGGATAGGTTGCTTTGAGGAAGGAAAGACTACTCTTTTCTCTTTCTCTTTTCCTCTCATTCTTTCTCTCCCATCTTCAGCAGCTGACCTGAGCAGTTTTGAGACTATTTCTTTAAAGGATGCTATGTGTGGGCAGAATATGGTTGACAGATGCCCTGACAATTGCCCTGTAACTGGAAAATAGCTCCTGCTGGGCCTATCTGGAGGGGCATGCAAGAATGGAACACATGAACAGTGTGGTGTTGTGATCCCGTGAGACTGCACTTCAGAAACATGAATTGATGTGGTCTGGGGATGGAGATTAATCCATCTTTCCTTTTCTTTTTCTTCCTTGTAAAAATATTAATAAAATCAACCAAACAAAACACTTTCCTTGAGTGAAACATACTGGAAACACATTTATAAAAGCTACAGGGGAGAAGGGAGTGAGTGGAAAATTATATTCTGTCATGGTGGTACTTACTAAATAGGTATCTGCAGGATAAACAGTGACAGCCATGTTAAAACTTTGATTATTTCAAAAGGAGAATTCAAGTTAGATGTGTTTGCCTCTGCCACAAAGCCTTCAGAGCATTAGTCTAAGAAGAGCCTTTTGCTCACTAAAGACAGGGAACATCAGTTAGTTGGATTTAAGTGTTAAAATCTTTAAAGATGTCTAAAGCTGATCTGAGCTTGAACTATTTTCTTTCTGATGTCTGAGTTCAGTCTTGTAAGATCTGTAAGGTTTTTATGCTCCAGTGTTTTTCTAATTCAGATGATTTTTTTTCCTTGTGTTAATCTGCAGAGGATGACATGCAGATTGATGAAAAATGTGTGGAAACAGGTAACTGAATTCACTTGAGATTAATCTATTTGCTTCAGGGTAGTAGCTAGTTAAAGCCTGGTTTTGTTTCCCTGCTAAAAACACTAATTCTGCTTTTTGTACGCTGGAAACTTTATCCTGTATTACTGTATTAAAATGAACTGTCTGCAGTTCTGGCGTACAGTGCTTATAGTGAATTGTTGTGCCGAACAGAGGGACACCCCAAAAATATCTGAGTGAGATCCAATGTTTTTGATTCAAGTTTTGGACTGCGGCTCTAATGTCACCATAGTTTTTGCCTATTGTAGATTTATTGCCACAGATGACAGTAGTCTTGGAGGACCCACACAATTAATTGTCAAGAAACTGATCTCAGGAGAATACATTTGTAGGCACTGAGCAGGAATAGATTTCACATGTAAATAGTACATATGAAGACTGTTGGCTTGACTTGCCTCCCTAAAGCACACCTCATTCTTCCTTCTCCCAAAGTAATTCAGAAAGCTCTCATGAAGGGATGTGATCCTGTAGGACAGGGTGGAGCAAGACCAGTTAATTCAAGCATGGTGAGCTGTATTTTGCCACCTCAGTGCAGGGGGAAGCAGGGAAAGTATGTGTGAGACAGACTGATAGGAGCTGGAAAATTGATTTCTGATTCTGAAATTCTATAAGAGGAAAATAATTAAAATTTTAATTTATTTTAATATTTTTGCTATCTGGATTACTAAACAAGATGAAGAAACGTTTGAATCTGGTAAGTTCTTCTCACCTAACTCCAAATTCCTTGCTATTGTTCTGCTGCGAGGGTGTCTAGAGCAAGTTCCTTAAAAACAAGCAGGTGACAAAAAACAGAATGCCATTTTAGCTTTAGAAGGTATTCTGGCTTGAAAAGGTAGAATGTAAAATCCTGTTGCCTTACATCTTCCTCTTGCTCTCTGATTACCTTAGTAGTAAGGTTTTTGTCCTGTTATCCCACAAGTGTGAGAGTTTCTTCTCGTGCATCAGTACCAGAGCTATTTATCAAACCCTAATCAGTTATACAAGCTGTGACAGCAGGGGCTGCGCTGATGTCAGCAGACAATTGGATTACCTTAGGGGAACGGAGGCCTGAATCCCCAGTGCCTGTAGGAGTTGACGTGGTAAAGAGGAGAGCTGTTCTGGATTCCTGATTGTGTGCGTGGTCAGCATACAGGAAACAAGAATGCTTTTATAAAATGAATGATTTATGTGTAAAGCATACAATCAAGCAGTGCTTTTTTTTTTTACCAAGCTGGTTTGGGTTTTAGAGTTGTTTTTTATAAGGAACAGTTACCTATTTACAGCATATTCAGAGTTCTGCAAAACTTGAGTCTTCTAAAATAAACATTTTTCCACTAAAATAAATCTACTACTGCTAAACTTCTTGTGTGAGATACTTGGTAATCCTGTGGAGAAAATGTCTCCACAAGGTTCCTAATTGCTAGTTGGGCCTTCTCTTACCAAAGGTGGTTTGTTCTCTTCCACCTCTCAAGCAATGCCCAAAGACAGAACCAGCAGGTCTACAGGGCAGTCTTGTTTTCAGGCCAGGATGTTTCTGATAATTGCAGTTGGGGATTACTCTCGCAAATCCTATTCACTACTCAGCACTGAGTCAGCTCTCTGCTGTATCCAGAGGAATAAAGGTGCAAATATTTGCTATCCTACATTTTACTTTAAATTAACCATAGTTGAACATCCATGTGATGTATTTTGCAAGTACAGTACTGTCATAGATGCTGTAGCTGAGTCTCTCATTCTTTGGGAACTGAGAATTCATTGCTCGCACAGGCATATTTTAGATTTAAACCCTGCAGTACCTGTTTTCTATATTTCTCAAATGCATTGGATGATGCTGGTTGGATTACCTTACTACAGACTGTCTTCTCTAAAACTAATTGTTTTATGTCTGTCTCTATCTGAACGTGCAGAGGAGCTTAAAGAAGGTAATGGTAACTTTTTTCCTCCCTGCCTCCTGTAAGCTTTAATCTGTTAGAATTTATCTGTGTTTATTGCATTACCAGGAAGTACCCTCCTCTTACAATACCCAGTAGCTGAATTGCTTGTTCCCTGTAGGATTCCATACTGTACTCCATACTATAGAACAGAGGGTAGATGAAGCAGAAATGCTCAAAAAGATTTGAATGATGGCTCAAAAGACCTGAAGATACAAATGATACAGAAAAATGCCATCTGAACAGTACTTTGAACTTCGTCCTGAGCAACCAGTTTTGTGCCAAGTAGTTTTTTCTATAGTCATAAACAAGGAGTTGTTAGTACATATAGAAATGTGGGAATAAAACTGTCTTTTAAAGGTACAAGTAGTGAAGAGTGTACAGATGTGAAAGAAGAGTAACTAAGATGTACCTAATTTTGTTTTGATACTTACATGCTTATGAGATAACTGTCAGTCAAAGAAGTCAGTCAGTCTAGTGCTAAAAGACAATACATTTCATGCTTTGCAAATTTACCACCTTTAAAGATTTGCCTATTTATGTCTCATTTGTGCCTAAAGGCCTAAATAAAAGGAATACACAGCTTGGATAACTATATGCATGATTAGAGGAAAATTAGGAGTAATAATTCTCTAATTTTCTAAAATCCTAATTTTTTCTCCTAAGAGAAATCTAAATAGTGCTGACACTATTTTTTTTGGTTAGTTATTTGTTTTCAAAACACCTTTAAGTAGTTTTTAAACTGGTAGAGTATTGATTTATTGGGAAATTGATATTTTTGAGCTTTATGGGAGAGATTTAATTAAAAAAATATATGTAGAGATTTAGAAGACTCGCCTAATGGCCAAGTATTCACAAGGAACAGCATGAGATGGGGACAAAAAGAATTCAAGGAAACAGATCAGTCTGGGATGTTCAAGCACAGATATCACTGATCCAAAGATGTTTAAAAAGAAATAATAAAATCAGGTCTCCATTCTGCCTGGAATATCTAAGCAGATACATATTGTATTTTCCAAGCCTGCTATTGGACAGAAAATGAATTATAAATTTTTTATTTCTGATTTTGAGCTACTGACTTATTAGTTACTGTAATGTTATAACTAAAGAATTCTTGTAAGCTAGGTTTCACCTGGAAAGCTTAAATTATGTGGAGGTTTTTTCACTATAAGTATTTCAAAACATTGTCTGGCATCTGGTTATGTTAGGAATGAAACAAAATTTTCAAGAGTTTCAAATCTAATTTAGAAAATGCCAGACTTTGTAAGTTTAATTTTTCTCTTACAGAAATATTGGTCCTTTGAATTGGTCATATGAAATACTTGAAAATTTCATATTATGGAATATTGTGCTTTTTGTATTAGATTATCATAGAGTGGTTTGGGTTGGAATGGACTTTAAAGATTTAAAGGTTTGCACCCAACTCATGTGCAGGATCTTGCACTTGGCCTTATTGAACTTTGTGAGGTTTGCACAATCCCACTTCTCAAGCCTGTCCCAGTCCCTCTGGGCAGCAAGATTAGGCATGGTACTTCCCTATGTTTACTGAAACACTGTTTTTCATTTAGGATCAGCAATAATTTTTAGGCCTCTAGCTCTTTAACTTTCTCTGTTCTTTATTTATTTCATGAGTATTTGTTCTTCATATTCTAGAAGAAGAAGAATTTGGTGAATTTGGCCAACGAGTCTTTATTGGTACGCAGTGACTAAAGATAAGATGTTTGGGGCTGGATCTATATTAAGTGCTTGTCTGAAATTAAATAAAATGCTTTGTTGTTTATTTCACCTAAAGATTTACTGAATTGCATTCTACTTGCTCTGTTTTCCTAACTTCAGGAAGCCGCTTTCCTCCCACTAATGCTTGTTCTCTCTGTCTAAATCCCTCTTCCTGTTAGGTTTCTACTGAGACCTGGCCACCACTATTTTAACTTAACTGGCTGTTAAGATTTCCCTTACTTCACAATTAATTTTACTAGAACATAATGTTGTTCTGCTGTCTGTCCCCATTGAGAATAATCTTGAGGGCTTTCATTAGAAAAGCAGACCTAAAAGTGATATTTTCAGAATTGAATGGTAAAGTGAAGCAATAACCTATCCCTGTTACTAAACCATAGTGACCTTTAAAATATTTTAATTCATTCTGAAGGCTGGACCAAATGTTCCAGATTTGCTTTAGGAGAGTGAACCAACTACACTTTCAAAAAACAGTTCACCCTAGTGATGCTTTATGTGGTCAGAAACTTCTCCTTTGGGTTGTTTTGGGGATCTTTGGGGGGCTTTAATTCTGGGCTAATTTTCAGCTGACTTTCAGTGAGATTTGACCACTTCTTTAGCTGTCTTTTAATGCTCAGAGATTCTACCAAGATGACATACCGAGTGCAGCAATGAAACATTCACCCTGCAAAAAAGCTCAAAACCCCAGTGTTTTGTGTGGCTTAGAAAGACACGCTCTAGGCTAAAGCTCTAGTTGCCTGCATCTCTGGTGCACTTTCCAGTACTGATGTCCTTGCCCCTTACAGCTGGTTTCCGCAGAAGCATGCGTCTGTGTCGCAGGAAATCCCGCACCAACCAGCAGTCGTGTTACGCTCGGTGCCCCAGCAGCTGTTACAGCTCTCTTGCTGCTCCATATGAAGAAGTGGTGAGGTACCAGCGGCACCCAGCAGACCGGAACAGACTAATTATACTAGTTGGTAAGAGGTTAATTACTTCCTCATGCAAATCTGACAGTCTGTAACAGAGGGGAGGAAATGCTCATGGGCTGAACCACTGAATCCACTGAGGTTTCCTGCTGCTGATTGCAATGGTTGCTGACTGTGCAAGTAGCTCTCAAAGCAACATTTGAAGAGTGATCATCTGTAATTTGACCCCATTGTTGGATTTAAATTTTAATGTATGTTAACGTTTTTTGCTTGAGACAGTGAATGTTTAAAAAATGATAATCATGAAATCCTCAGCAAAAAGCTGTACAGTTATGAATGCTAGTTGATAATGGATTTTATTAGGGAAATGGTTCAGTTTTATATTCAGTTGAGACTAGTATAGAAAGTGATGAGAAAACGTGTAACTTACTAGAAAACATCTTTAGGTTGAGGCATTTCTACAGTCAGTGTTAAATGCACGGATATGGCAATGGTAAGAAGAATATTTAAACTCCAGACTAGAAAAATCTCAATCATGGGCAGTAGGGAAAGCTAAAAAGATGCCTTTAATAATGCTTGCTATAGGAAATGTTGTATTAAGTGGGTTGCGAGCTCTCAATTAGTCTTTAGTGATAATGACTGAAAGGAAGCTGCTGTTCTGCAGTGTTCCATGATCCTGATAAAGCAAACTGAGTAAAGGCAGATCCATTGTCCTTTCTAAGTCTGGAATTATTTGGTAATATTTTTTTCTTGTGAAATGGTATTGCTGAGTTGCCTCCTGGCTACGGCTGTATTACTAGGAGGTGATTTGTACCCTGAATCAAATCAAGATCCTTTGGTCGCTTCTGCTGCATTTTTTGGGAACTTATTTATAGTTCATTTATGTGTGTGCAATGGGTTAGAAGATGGGGGTTGTGCATGTGAAAAGTGACTGTGTCAGTAATATTAGTTGCTTTTCCAACTTTTTAGGTCCTGCAGGAGTTGGTGTGAATGAACTAAGGCGAAGGCTTATCGCAAGTAACCCACGAGAGTTTCGAAGTGCCGTACCTCGTATGTAATGTTCTTCCTCTTTCCCCCACTACCCCCTTGAAACGTGATTAGGGAATTTCAAGTTACCTCCCTCTTGCCTTTGTTATTCACACACTCTTGGCTGTATGGCTGGTTTTTCAGTTCTACTGCAAGCCAGAGTCATTTGCTTTTAGAAGGGATAGTTTAAACTCCTACCTTCATGTTTTAGCAAATCAGCCAATGGTATTTTCAAGTTACAAATCCTGAAACCCTTAAAGCTCTATGTAGTAGTAGATTATCTGCATGATTTTGTTTAAGCTTGATGTTTACTTTTCCTAGATTTAAAAATAAGAATGTTTCTTAGGGATGTTGTAGGTTCATAGTGTTTAAGTGATCAGGTATGAGAATGAAGGCAACAGAAGTTGGTGCTTAATAGGCTTTGCAGCTTTCCTCATTAGCCTTCCAGTCTCAGATAAGACTTACACAGCTTAATTTCTGACGTAATAACTGAAATTCTTTCTACCTGTGCTTATTTGGTTCTTGTGATTTGGATAACAGGAAATGTATGAATCTGAAGCTGGTTGAAAATTCAGGAATTTTTGGGGCTTAAGATCCCAGATATGGGTAAGGTGCAAGCACGGGAAGGCTTGTGAGATGTTTCCGAATGAACTTCAATCACTTTTACCTCAGTGGAGTAAAAACAGTTGTGCAACCAGTTCCAAAAGATTTCCTGCTTGGTTTGAGTCACAGATATTTGGATTAAACCTCTCTCCTTCCGTTCCAAGAAAAACAGACGTACTTTGCTAATTTTCAAGGACTTGCCACTGAGCAGCCAGTAGAGTAGTCAAGGCTTTTGCTCTGGATTAACAAATGGAAACAACTCGCTTTATTACTTAGGAAAATACTGATTTATAGTCCTTCGTGAAAGTTGCCTCATTTTCATTTATAAAATTACAAGAATTTACTTGCAGTTGATTTTTGTGTATGTATCTCCTCTCAGACACCACTCGTGTTCAGAAGAGTTATGAAATGAATGGTCGTGAATATCACTACGTATCAAAGGAAACTTTTGAAAACATGGTGTATAGCCACAAGTAAGTAGGAGTGACAAATTATACAAATTACAATTTCGTTACTAAAATGCAACAAGAAAAGCCAGTATTGTAGTTAGGGCCCAAGTTTGGGCTCCTCCACTCGTACCTACTATGCATGTTTTGTGTAAATTTTGGTCAAACTACTTAAGCCTATTGCTTCAAAAACTGTTTGTTCAGTTGCAAATAAGCTCCTCCACAATTAATCTCAGAATCCTTCTAAAAGAAAGTGGGATCTCCAGTGCTGAGCTCATTTGATGTACTTGTAACGTACAAGTTTAACTCTACTGGAAGTTTAACAAGTTTAACTCTCTTGGAAACTGGACTGCTTTCTAAAATTGAGCAGTGAGTCCTGATCTACAGCTCCATTGCAGCACCTCTGCAGTGATGACATCTCCACGTAAGCAGCTGAACTGGAAGGGCCCAACTTTCAAAAGTGTCCTCCCCTTTCTAGGCATCAAAAATCCCTCTAAAACAGACCAGCTCAGCACCAGAAGCTACACTCTGCTGTGCTAAGTGCTTTTAAATCTTCTGATTAATTAAGTTTAGTACTATATAAATGACAAGCATTTTATCATTAGAAACACAACCTCTAAACACGTAATTTGTAACAACAAGATGGGTAAAAAATGCATGCTTTGGAGATGTGAACTGTAATGGTTCTGATTTTGTGCCCAGTGTAGCGGGGAAGAGCAAAGGTGGAGGTTGTTCATCGGTGTTCACTACGTTTTATGATCATTCAGGCTTGATCACTGGATTACATTTGAAGATTTCACCCTTAAATGGAATCTTTTTGAGACTCAAGTACTCTTTAATTCTCCTTTTCCTTCTGTTGCAGAATGCTGGAATATGGGGAATACAAAGGGTACCTGTATGGTACCAGTATTGATGCAGTGAGAACAGTCCTCGATGAGGGGAAGATCTGTGTCATAGATTTAGAACCACAGGTGAGTAGTAAAGGGGCAGGGAAGCTACAGTTTGTATCTCCTGGAAAGAAAAACAATTCTCTGTAGGTTCTTGAGCTATTGGAACAGTGTGAGTTGCTTTGTCTTGTTTTTTCGCTTTAGCTTGTTAATAATAGATTATTCTTTGCATGGGCCTTGGCGGGGGGGGGGGAATGCTACAGTGGCAAGTTATGTACAGAGCAGTATAGTTCATGTGTTTCAAATCAACAGCTGCACTATCAGGTGGAAAGGTGCAGAAATGAGTTTCATGTGGAGACTGTTGCATGGGATTTCCTTCTCCTCCAAGCCCTGTTAGTTGAGAGTTCTGTCCTTCCATTAGCAATCTCTGAACACCCTTTAGTAAAGCAGGGCATTATATCACACATCTATTTCTCTTCAGAAGTAACTTAACAGCTGAGAGTAAGCTGCTCTTGCACATGACCAAACACCTGCACAAGAACCTCCAGCAAATGCTTGCTGTGTAGCCCACCACTCATCTAGGGACAACAGTTTGCAGATGTTTACTATATGAGAAAGGCTAGCCTGCACAGATTCCACACACGCCTGAGCAGATATTGGCAAGGGGTGCTTCAAATAGGGATTAACAGATGTTTCTATGCTCAGCATTGCAAAAAAATTTCAAGTGCATTCTCTGCATTATTCTGTACTTTTTTTCTTAATTACTTTTATTACCTCTAACACTTTCAGAGCTATTTACCCTGCTAATCTTTTCACTGAGACACTATTCATTTATGTTTTTTCCTTCTATCTTTGCATTGAATTTGCTGATGAAGTTAAGGATAATGACGGCTTGAGTTTGTAAATATCTACTACACTTAATGCTGTGTCCAGCAAAATCCTACTAAACTTCTCTGAGTTACTTGCATATTTAGTACTCAGGAGCTGTTTGGGTTACTGGCTTTCAGCATCTCCTCTAACTGAAAGTAAAGAGAGACACTCAGTAACTTTTAGAGACTTCCCTCTGATTATGCGGATCCCGTGTAGTCAGAGCCTTCAGTTAGCAGTGGTTTGTGCTGGTTAAAATAAAAGTTAAGGTCCGTGATTTGTGGGGTACTATTCAAAAGCCAAACTGCTATAAGGGGCATGTTAGGCCACACTTTAGGCTTTTCACATCTAAAAATATCCTTGGGGTTTCTTCTGCTACATTTCTTCTAAACAAGGGGAAGAAGCTGATGGGAAAAATGTAGTCTTCCTATTTGAACAGATGCGCCAAGTATCAGATTTTTAGGATGTGAGTTTAAAGGACAAGTTTTGGGAAGTGTATGAAGTAATGGCACATAGTCCTCTTCAGTAAGTGCTGTGAGGGAGGAGAATTACTGCCAAGTTGCATGTTTGCATTTTAAATCTTGTGCCTTAGCCAACTTTATATGTTGTGCTTTTTTTTTTCTTGTTTCTCTTTTATTTTTTCCAGTTCCCTCCACTGCTCTGCAGTAGTTTAAAAATGCTTGTCAGCATCAGGGAATGTTACCCAGCACAAAGATTTTTGAAAGCAGGATACTTTCTTCCAGTACGGAGCAATAATGATGTATTTTTCCCAAAGGTAGCTCCCCAGCAATTAAAAAAATGGATTTCAGATTCATCTTGAATGTTGTAGATTGTAGAGATCTGTTAATGACAGTGTCCACTCACTCACTGGAGTTGAAAGCATCTCCTAATAAGGTTGCCAAGCAGAATGAAAGCTTAAGAATGTCTGGTCCAGGGATTATTAGTGAGGTCATTTTAAAGTAGGTGTTCCTGAAAAAGATTACTGCTAGGTCTGGAGATAATGACTGGCTTTTTATGGGAGTAAAACCGAGATGAATACACTTGAAATACTTTAACTTTTTTTTGGTTTTCACTCTTAATTTGCAGGGCATACAAGTAGCCCGGACTCATGAATTAAAGCCCTACATTATATTTATCAAGCCATCCAGCATAAGCTGCATGAGGCAGACTCGTAAAAATGCCAGGATCATTACGGATTATTATGTGAACATGAAATTCAAGGTGAGATTTGGGAATGGAAGAGATTCAATTTATTATTCTGGGATTGTGTGTTTAGAACATAATGCATTCTACTATGTTACTGTGTTAATTCTTTAAAAGATTATTGTCTTGGATCAAATCTAAGTTATTCTTGTCTTTTTTGGTTTGTTGGGATTTTTTTCCCCCTCCAGATTTGTTTTGAAGCAAGAGTGTTGTAATTTGTACCTGGGGGACTGAGGCATTTTGCTTCCAAATGTCTTTAAAGGAGAGGCTATTTCGTATATTTTTGTTTTAGTTAACTGCATTGTGGCAAGATTTAAGGCAACACCTACATTTACTGTTTGCACTGAAATATCTGAAATTTGCTTCATTTGGTAATTTAATCAAATATTTTTTTCATGTAATTATAAGAATGTATTGTTATTTCATGTATGCTTAATGACAGTATCAGTATCAATTCTATACTAAGTTCTATAAATAAAACACAAATCCTGCTTGTGGGAAATAGATTTCTTGTATTTATAATGTGTCTAGTGCATTGTCACAATTGTTTTGATGCAAATCATAATCAAGTTTAGCATCTTAAAATTTTGGAGACCTCAGTCCATAATTGTATATGGGAATGAATCATGATTGCTATGGCAGAAAGAAAGATGAACACTGGGGAAATAGACTAAAATGTGGAATAAGAACACGAGTGTTAGTGGATTTGCCTTTCAGTCCCTAACATCCTCTGCCAGCGCTCATCCGGAGAATAACCTTTCTGGGGCAAATGGAGCACACCAAGACACAAGGTATTCCCTTGTGAAGGATACAGCAGTCAGCTCTGTTTCAGAGACTTGGAACTGATTGTAACAGATGTAATTTACTATAACAAACTGTAAATGACATAAAGCACACTGGCACTATCTATTCACCTCTGGTTTACATGGCCCAAGGTGTTCTACAGATGTCACACGGGTACGTTTCTCTTTACAGCACTAAACCTTCTTATTTTGTGTCTCACAGGAAGAAGATTTACAGGAGATGGAAGATTCGGCTAAGAAAATAGAAGCTCAGTTTGGTCAGTTCTTTGATCAAGTGATTGTGAATGACAATTTACAAGAAGCATCTGCGCAGCTGCTGTCTGCAGTCCATCGTGCACAGGATGAGCCCCAGTGGGTCCCTGCAATATGGATTTGCTCAGACACCCAGCCCTAATTCTGAGCAGCAGGCAGCTTCAGAAAGATTACAGCTTATGTTTCACTTCAAGAATAATCCTAATGTCAGGATTGCAAGAATTTATCTTTGTACGTGAGGGATTTGGAAGAGGATTAGGAAAGAAGCTGCTACAGGAGATATAATCATACTATGTTCTGTGTAGCTCTTCTGCTTTTTATGGCACAGTTGCATCCACTTTTGTACAAAAAAGGAAATATTGTGAGCGCTCAATTACAAGAATAAAGAAAAATCTATTTTGTTGCATGTATCTGCATCATTTACTCGTACATAGCTACCGAAGAACCCTTTCCTTTCTTTTTATTGTGGTCATTCTGGTACTGTGATGCTTGTACATTCTGGAAGCCTTACTAGCAAATAATATTCAGTCCAGAGCATACTCTTTTAGCGTGCTGTCTTTGAGGAAAGAGTGTTATTTATGAAGGCATTGACATGCTGCTTTTTATCTAAGACAGGAGCAGAGTGGTATTGTCACATACAATTAAAATTACTCTAGATACCACAGTTACCTTCGCAATACATGTAACATGTCTTTTTTTCTTTTTTTCCATCAACTGCAGTGAGTAAAAAGACAGAATATGGACTTACCAAAGAGGGAAACAAAGTCAGAAGCCCCTTTACCTATTGGTTTGGTCTATGGTAGGATGCTTTCCTCAACAAACAGTGCAGGGCTGTGGCAAACAAGCTCCTCACTCCTCAGCTCTGAGGAACATGGATGATTATTCTGTTGGCTTACCTCACTTCAGAGGAAAATCGACAAAAGCAATTTAAACAGTCTAGGAAGAGATTATTCAAAGCCAAATAGTGCAGCTACCCACATGCCTGCTTGTTCTAGAGTCAGGCCTAGTATTCCTTGTTTACAGGTAAAACTAGGGAGATCAGCGTCCCAACATGTCACTTGTCTGTGGGTCAAGTACAGGTGCAGGGTGAGGCTGGTGCCAGCTTAGTGCTGCTGGTCCATGACCAGCTCTCCACCAATGCTGCCTATTCCAGCATTTGCCTATTTTTCATGTATTTGCTTGCAGCCACATCTGCTTTAACTATTAGAAAAGAAAAATGTTCTCATTAGAGTTCATTTGTACTGGAACAAAATTTTAACACATTTTTCTAATTTTTTTTCCTTTCCGTTTACACCTTTATTTTGCAAATTGTGCCCGTGGCTGTAAGCTAAAGGAGCCTAGAAACCTTGTTTTTCCACTAACGTGCATTTGACTTTGCCAGACTGCAGTCCGACGGACGAGACCCCGGCCCGCCGCAGTAGCCGGTTCCGCGCCGGGAGGGGCTCGCTCTGCCGACGGAGCCGCCGGCGAGGGGGCGAGGTGGGCGCGGGAGGCCCGGCCTCCCCGCCGCTGGGGGGGCTGCAGCTCAGGCGCGGGGCGGAAACGAGCGCCAGCTCCTCCCCGCGGCGCCCGGGAGACCGGCGGCGGCGGGTGCGGCATGGCGGCGCGGCGGGCAGGCCCCGGCGGGGTGAGGGCGCGGCG